CGTGAATTTATTTTTCTCATCGGAGAAACTTTCCGAAGCTCTCGATAAATTACGCCCGCGGCTCTGTAAGTAGCCATTTTTCCCTCCAAGCGTACACAGCTCATACTTTTCCTGCCGGGAGTACTTCTAGATTTAATCACGGCGGATCTCTCGTTAAGGAAGTCACGACAAATCTCGGCGCGTTTAGCATGAAACGCGACCGATCTTGACGGCGCATTACGTGATCGGAATGCGAATTTTGTTGTCTTTTTCTCTTTTCCTCGCGACATCAGTCCGGGGTGCCGTGCTGCATTAAATGGAGGAGCGTGCGGCGCTGATCCCGGTTCATCCGCAGTTTGACGTGAAGCGAAAGATAGCTACGTGTTGTACAACGACACAGTTACATGCATTATTCATACAAGAAAGCCGTCGCTGTGACAACAAGTAGGAAAATGCAAAGCTTCGTGATCCCTTCATCACCCCCGGCGTTTCGCACCTAGTCGAAGTCGAGGCATATGATCCCGCATCGATGGCCTCGTATCCCCGCGGCCTCCCACTGGCGTTTGTCAAGATCTGACGAAATGAACTCGAAATCCGCCGATTATCTCACTACTCGAGAACATTCTGCGCGCGCGGCCGGTCTTTTGGGGTCTGTTAATTGTTTCCGTTCGTTTTGATACGCGGACGCGGACACGCATTTCAAATTCTACTCTCATCTCGTTCTCTTCCTCCCGGCAACAAGCGCGCAGCTCCGCAGAGTGCTCCGCGTGCAATTTTCCTCGCGGCAGCGCAAATATGTATGCAATTTCTTCTTGAGCCATTCATCGAGCTGCTTATCCGCGGATACATGCACACGTATTTCATGTCGTTCCCGCGCTCCCTCGCGCGCGCTCAGGGTTACCCGGTAAAGATTTCCTTTATTCCTCGCGTCCTCTCGCACGTGCCGCTTTAAATAACGGTATCATACATACGTATCATACATACGTATCCGCGGGTATTGCGAGTCGATGTCATCGGGGCCCTATACATTTTTCACATTGACGGTAAACGTGTCGGAAATTTCGAGGAGGGGCGCGTATGGTGCGGAGCGACTGCTCGGAATTTATTGTATTACAGCAAGATCGCGAGGACTGCACTCCGCGAGAAGCAACGAACCTCGAAATTTCGAGTTTTTCGCTGTCTCGCGATTTCCACGAATAAAATCCCGCCCATCCAGGACCACGTTTATCGACTCGCGCTTGTTTGAGCGTCTCACCGTAGAATCGTGAGGCGAGTAATAAGACTGCGCGGCGAAAATACTTGTTAATAAAATGCACCAAATTTGGACAGAACGTTCAGATGTGCGACTATCATGTCGCGAACTTTTGCATTCCTCAAATGATGTTACATCTTAAATGAGAAATTGTCGAGGCGCAATTTGCAAAATCGGCTCCCGCCACGTCGTCTTACTGCGAGAGAAACCACTTCTATCTTCTCTTTCAAGGAGCAAGCTGGAGCAAATCCTCTCCACTCTCACGACGTAAGGAAGAAAGTTGAGTGAAAGCGATCCCGGTAATCCGCTCGAAAATTGCCCGGGTCCGCAAGAAATACGCCGCGCTCGACATTTAACGCGTTTCGTCTACGTGAGACCGCGATTAAAATTTATCCAACGCGCGCAAATTTATCCGCGCGCGCGGGCGAGAATCTATCGAACAAGGCGACAGTGTCGTCGGCTACGATAAGGAAGCACCGGGAAGAAACAAATCGAGCACGGCTGACGCCTATTCCACTCACCCGAAATGCATCCCGTAATTCCTGCTCCTCCTGATGCTGATCGGTGGGTGCCGCTGTGCTCGCGCCGATGTTGCTGACGATCTCGACGAATTCCTCGAAACTGACGTTTCCGTCGCCTAAAGAGAAATCACAAAGTATGATAAGGCCGCCTGCGAGAATCGCGAAGTACGATAAGGCGCGAAGTACGATAATGCGTTTGCGGATCTCGACCCATCCCGCGCAATCGATACTCCTCGCATACGCTCTCCGGCCGATCTGTCGCCCATTTACTATCTTTACTCGTTTAGTATTCGTTTAGTAGAGTAACAAAACTAAGCAACGTTTCATGCATCTTGACATTCTCCTTTAAGTAGGATTCCTCCGTGATAATTTTATGGTGATATCGCGACCATATATAATGGCCCGATGAATTGCACTCTTTAATCAAAATCCCTTTGAACAAACGTACGATTTAATTGCACATGCAAAACAGACACGCTCGGCACTCAAATAGCTTAGGGAAAGCCCTGATTGCACAGAAAGAGAAAACTTTCTTCGTCATTTAAATGCAGGACGAGCTCCCTGCTGAGCTCCCTAGAGGGTTGCGAACTACCTGATTAAAGAAATTAAATCATTTTAAATCTCAACTCTGCTTGTTTCATGTTCAATACGTTTCTCGATTCTTGATATCAACGTTTGTAGACAAATTGTTCTTGAAATATAGTTATTTATCTTATAAGCCACGTTCCATTTATTTCTACGATCTACGATAACAACATCGTTTTCGTCACAATAGAAGAGAAGAAGAAAAAAGAATCTGGGAGTTAAATTTATCACGACACGTTCGACCACAGTCGCTCTTTGATCATTTGATAACAAAAACTGTGGCGCAAACATACGCGAGATCGATCGAAAAGATTGGCCTTTATTTCATGTTTCTGCGTCTATCCGTTCGCGAATGACGTCCCATTCGAATCTCTGCGCGATCGCGATCGCGTTCGATATTGTACGCTCTTATTAGATGGCACTAACTAACACGCAATACTGGAATTCCACTATTTGTAAGGAGAAAATAAATAAGTGAGCGAGTCAGAAGCTGCAGCGTGCTTCGTCATTTCGGGCTTTTCATTTCTTCCCTATAAATGGCGGACAGTAACCTAACTTTTGCTTCAAGAATTTTATGGTATTTATAGTCAAGGCATGTATGAGGGAACTTTTCAGAATTGATTCTGATCAAAATAATTTTGTTTTCCCTAAAAAAACCAATAGAAATCTACACTGTAAAAACTGATGTATTAAATTTAACATTTCATCTCAAATCATCCACTCTCATTTATGTGTAAATTTAACACAAAACAAATGTGATAAAAAGTAACACATATAATATGTAAGAAATTAATACAAAAATTTAACACTTGATAAATTAATACTTTAATACGGGATATGGAAAAATTGTCGTAATTTCTTAATATCTTGGAGAATATGTATTTTTCAGAAAAAACATCTCCGATAATAATTACACGGTATTAAACACGGTATTAAATAATTTATCGAGGGATTTTTAATTTGTTTTTCTATTAAATAATATTGTTAAAACTATATCAAAGTATTATCTTTAAATTTTTCAATATACACTTCCATTTTTATTACATATTCTTATAGTTAACCTCGATACGTTTCCTGGATAGGTACGTTTTGCGTCAAAATGAAAGCTCTCATTATTTTTCTGATTCTTAATTATACTTTTTATTCAACACAAAATCGACGTTACTTGAATACCGTCAGGAATCACAGTTTGTGTTAAATTAACATATGTATAATGTTAAATTAACTAAAATAAAATGTTACTGTAACATTTGAGAGAAATATTAATCTATAGTTTTGTGTGTGATGAAATAAAAATGTTAAATTAACATAATCTATGTCTAACTTATTAAATATGTCAATTTAACACAACCTGTGATTCCTAACGGTATTCAAATGTTAAATTCTTGTGTTAATTTTTTCCATATTGTGCGTGTTATTTTTTAACACATTTGTTTGGTGTTAAATTTACACATAAATGAGATGATTTGGGACACATGAAATGTATTAAATTTAACATATCAGTTTTTACAGTGCAGAGAATAACGACAATATTCCGCTCGATTCCAAAGAATTCCATAACATGTGCCCAAATCTTATATTTAAGATTATCTATCTGTCTTAAGTTCATCTTCACATGCTATACAGATCATTGGCTACGGAGTACCTGAAGACGAACTTAAGACGGTCTTAAATATAACATCCGACTATGAATACCGGCCTAAGCAACGCACCCATGCGCGATGTGCACCGATGCATGTTGCCGTGTGTGAGTCGGGTGAATGGTCTCACACTTGCGAGGCTAGAGTACATGGGGGCAAGGCCGCGTTCCAACCATATCGCGCACGGTAACATTGTAAGTGCAGGAATGCTGACCTGCCACAACGTGACAGCTGACGGCGCAATTCCACTTGGACGGAGCAGATCGAGAACGCGGTTCGATACGTCCATCGATATCTTCACTTGTAGCGATCATAGAGACGTCAAGCGAAGCCCGTTACAAAGTTTAAACTTGAACGCTTCCGGTGGGCATGCAATTATTTTTCTTCGCAATAAAAAGTTCCATTAGTGAAGTATAATTTCCGCGACAGAAAATATCTTCAGGCATCGTAAATTAATGTATACGATGTATATATTATCTTGTAACGTCGATTTTGTGTTGAATAAAAAGTATAATTAAGAATCAGAAAAATAATGAGAGCTTTCATTTTGACGCAAAACGTACCTATCCAGGAAATGTATCGAGGTTAACTATAAGAATATGTAATAAAAATGGAAGTGTATATTGAAAAATTTAAAGATAATACTTTGATATAGTTTTAACAATATTATTTAATAGAAAAACAAATTAAAAATCCCTCGATAAATTATTTAATACCGTGTTTAATACCGTGTAATTATTATCGGAGATGTTTTTTCTGAAAAATACATATTCTCCAAGATATTAAGAAATTACGACAATTTTTCCATATCCCGTATATAATTTATGTTATGTATATTAGATATATTCTGCATATATAATTTTATATATATATATTTTTTTTTAATGTGTTAAAAATATGGACTATCAAGACTTACTCTAAATTTATTGAAATTGAATCGCATTTAATAGGAGTGGCAGTATTTTCAGTCAAAGTGATAATAAAAATACTCGAAATCGCAAAAATAAATGCTTCACCCAGCTTGAAATTGAACGAGTATTTCAAACGATTAGAGTGGACATGTTCCTGTGATGGTAGAGCACAAACAATTCGGGGAAATAGCTTTAACATTTTATAATTCTAGTTTCAAATGAATTTTTCGATTATGCGCAATATATCTACATATTCGTACATCATAACTTAATATGTTTATTTCGAGGAAGCAATTCCGTCAAATTGAGAAGTTGGTTTTTGTAAAATATTAGGACTATTACACTGTCCGATAAAATTTGACTTTTTTTTATCGCAACTACTATTTTTTAGTAAATTCGAAGTCACTGAATTCAAATCCGCCAGTAAAAAATGCCTATCAGATTTTTTAGATAAATCGAATAACATAAGTAAAAAACTGTGTTTCTTGCCATATTTCCCAATTTTTTATGGCCAAATAAAATTTTATATCTCTATTTCATTGACGTCGCTTTAAAGTGCTATTCTTCACCTTTAAAATGAATTTTTATTTTTTACTGTGCGATTTTTTTCACCGAGTTATGAACATTTTCCAAAATGTAAAATTTTACACTTTTATAAATATTAACTTTTATGCTCCTCCGTTAAAATTTATCAATTTATTCATCTACGTTGAGTCTGCTATTTTGAATTTCGTCATTTTGAGTTCAGATTCGTAAGCAGCAACCTCAAAAACCCCGAGTATTGACTTTGATCCGAATCAAGTCATTTTTCTTATTTCGGTCTGCCATATTGGACCTGCCATTTTGAATTTCGAAATTTTGAGTTCAGATTCGGTATCAGAGACCCCGAAAACCCTAGGATACTCATTTTCATACAAATCCATCTACTTTCCACTTTCAATCAGCCGATTTGGATCCGACATTATTTACATTTTGGAAAACGTTTATAAGTCTGTGAAAAAAATCGCACAGTAAGAAATAAAAATACGTTTTACAAGTGAAAAATAGCATTTTAAAATGGCGTTAATGAAATTGAAAAATAAAATTTCATTTGATAACAAAAAAATGGTAAATATTGCAAAAAACGCAGTATTTTACCCATATTACTTGATTTATCTCAAAAATCTGACATAATGGGCATTTTTTACTGGCAGATTTGGCTTCAGCAACCTAGACATTACTCAAAAACATTAGTTTTTGTCGCCGCAGATTTTTTTGTTGAACTGTGTTATGCAGGATTGCGTACATCAGATTCACTCTTCAATTTTGAGTGAAAATATTCATTTGACAATTGAGAAGCGTTTACTTTCTATAAGTGAAAAATTGCTTGAATTCGAGTGACTCGGTGGTAACTGTATGTTTCAAATGAAATTTCACTCCAAAAAATCTAGAGAATAGTACACGTTTTTCGAGCGATCCATATCAATGCAAATGCAAGAAATCTCTCCGTATTCCCGTAAAGCAGTTCCGCAACGTAAATGCTTTCCATCCTTTTAAGCGACCGCGCAACCCTTTTATCCCGCTATACGCCATAATAAGAGGGAAGTACACGGTGATATTCGCACAAAGGCGCAAAAAAGAAAGAAGAGAAAGCGGCCACGAACGAGAGTGCAGAAATGAACGAATTTTAACACGTCTCGATCCGGAGTAATGTCTTAAGATGGAAATTTTTTACGTGAGAAAGGTTTGCGGCTTCTTCTTCGTTACTTTTTAAAAAGATTTTAGTTGCTCAATGAGCGGTGGACGACGGATTTTCAGTAGTCCGCGTGCTGTTTCGCGCGAGCGCTTAATTACAGCCCCGTCTGCGCCGTGCTCGTCGTTAATTTGCGAGTTCGCCACAAAGCGGGCTATCATAACTCTTTCATTTACGACGTCGGTTTATAATGAATATTAAAACCCGCGTTCTCTGTCCCTTGTGATCTCGTGCACTCAAAAATAATT